GGACCAGGTATTCTAATGCCCGAGACTATGGGGGGAGTCATTTCTCATTCAAGGCACCGCAAGGGGGATTAGAGCTGCTGTGAGCATGTTTGCTTGCTGCACCCAGAATCCTAGCCTATGAGGAGCACTGAGGAGCTGTGGCTGGGGACTCCATGCTTCTGTCCTTGAAACCCTCCTCCTGTGGGGTATGCTTCAGGCTCTTGCATGAGTCTTTCTTAACTAATTTAAAAGTGGAGTCTTGTGTTTCCCAGGCTCCTTCCCGTGACCACCTCTGTTGTTCCTCTCCACAGTTTTCCCTCGAAGTGTCTGAACACCCTTAACTTCTAGTGCCACCGTTCCTGTAGCCTGCTCACATCTCTTTCCATGAGAATAAAAGTACCGCAGGCTGAACCCATTTCCTTTCTTCCTTAAATTTGGTTCTAACAGTTCACCCAAGTCAGGAATCTGGGAGTCTTCCTTACTTCTCTTAGCTGATGTCCGGGTGCTTGTCACAGTCAGACCCCATGCCGGACCCTGTGGAAGAAATGTGTGTGAATGTACAGGGCCTGTCTCTCTGGCTGCCTGTAGGAGTGGTGTAGATTTAGTTCCCGGATGTGAACGCCAGGATCCGGATGATTGGCAGGACCTCCCTGGGGAAGGTCATTAGAATGAAGAGCTGAAGAATGATTAGATGCTCATCAGGGCAATTGGGGGTGGGGGGCATGCTAGGCAGGGGGATGAGCATGCTCCCAGGCTCTGTGGTTAGGAGAAAACTGCTTAAGACATAAGCAGGAAGGCAAGAAGGAGGCAGGACCTGGTGCCACAGGAGGCCAGGGCCGGGCAGTGCACATCAGAGACTGCCATGTTAGTTGGCACCTCTTTGCATTCTTACACCCCTTTCTAACAGTTTCAGTCTCGAACCCTTCTCCCCATAATTCATTTCCACCTGTGAAGCATATTGTTTTCATCTGCCAGCAAGGCAAATTGTGTCTCGCCACCTTCGGATTCAGCCTGTAAACAGCATGCTAACATGTGAGCCAGACTGAGTTGAGCCTCTAAGTAAACTCCTCCCCTGGTTCCTTGTTGTCAGGATAGAGCCAAGACCAGTGGCCTTTCTTGTTGGCTTCCCCAAACCCACCCTCCTTCTTTGCTGCAGCTTTCTCAAACGGTTCCCGGTACCCTTGAGGTGCTGGGTGGCTATGCTCTGGAGCTCCAGGCGAAGTCTTGCTCATCGCATGCTCTCCTCTAAGGGCCTCATACTCTAGGAGGCCATTCCCCCCCCCCCAGCTCAAGACACGTGCTGCCCCTCTCAGACAGCCCTCTCATCCATGGCTGCTCACATAGCCACCTTCTCTCTATCCTTCATAGGCACATCTCTTTTGCTAGACTGAGAACTACTTGGAAGAGAGGAATCTGGGTCCCTTGCTCTTCATCCTTTTGGTGCCCCCAGGCTAGCATAGACTAGCAATTAATAAACCCATTGTTGAAGGTCTGTCGATGAAGGACAGACGATGTTCAGTCAAGCCACAAACGATGAGGCTTTGTCCTGAGGCACTTTAGGAAGGAGTCTGGCTTCCAGGACACCTCTCTGAGCTGCCTGGATCTGGATCTTCTAGTGACCGATCATAAGCCTGAGGGTGGGCTCCACTCCACCCCCACACACTAGGCCTGAGTCTTCTCAAGCTTTAGAGAGTTTCAGGATAATCGGGGTTCTCTGGTTTGTTGAATAGATGGCTGGGTCTTTCCCCCTACCACACCCCCTTGATTCCAACTCAGGGGCTGGGGGTGGGGCACCTGAGAATTTGCTTCTGTAACAAGTTCTCAGGTGACGCTGGTAGTGCTGATCTGGGAATCATGTGTGGAGAATCTGTGTTCTAGAAAAAAAAATTGTTTCCCAAAGTATCTCTCTCCACAGTGTTAGTGAAAAAGCGGATGGTCTCACTTGGGTTTGGCCTTATAGGTTTCAAGAGCCATTAATATGAGATTAGTGTGTGTCTCTGTTAGGTTTTCCATTGCTATGAAGAGACACCATGACCATGGCAACTCTTAGAAAGGAACACATTGGAGCTGGCTTACAGTTTCAGAGGTTTAGTCCATTATCATCATGGCGGGAAGCATTGCACCATGCAGGCAGACATGGTGCATGAGAAGGAGCTGAGAGGTCTACATCTCGATCTGCAGGCCGCAGAAGGGGACTGTGTGGCACACTGGGCATAGCTTGAGCCTAGGAGACCTCAAAGCCCACCCCCACAGTGACACCCTTCCTCCAACAAGGCCACACTTCCTAATAGTGCCACTCCCTATCGACCAAGCCTTCAAACACATGAGTCTATGGGGTCCAAAACCCCTTCAAACCACCACAGTGTGATAGACAGATTAGATACTACAGCTTGCCTCTACCACTGGCTCTTGCCTCGCCCACAAATGCGCCCATATCCAATTCATCAGCCACTTAACCTATACGTTTTGTAGAATGTGCATGGCAGCAGATGAAGCAGAGCCTTGGGTAGGCCAGTAGGAGAACCCTGAAAAGGAGATGGCAGGTGTGGACAGAATCACAACTCAGGAAGTCTCAGGGGAGGAGCACCTTCTCTGAAGGGCAGTAAATTCCTATCCCCGGGAGTTCCAGCACAGGCTTCTAGAGTATTAGTGGGGATAATATTAGCGGCTTGTTAGTCTAAGTGACCGTTAATATCTTGAAATTCTGTGATGAAGCATAAAAGCAATGGTTGACCCCGCCATGCATAAATAGCTCACTTGGGGTGGATGTGCAGAGGGCCCAGGCTGCCTTCTGCAAACAATGGAGGCAGCTCTATTTTGAATAGATACACATTCCTCACCCACAGCGTGTTTGGTGACCAAGTGGATTCATATCCAATGGCCCTGTAATTTGCTGCTTATTGACCTCAGATCATTTAAGAGGTTAAATGGAAGAAGCCACAAGCAGGCAGAGAGTGTGTCTCAGGGGCCTCTTTATGTCCTGCTTCCTAAGTCACATGGAATTGAGATTCAAGGCACCATTTTAGTTTGTTTTGAGAGAGAGAGAGAGAGAGAAGAGAGAACACACCTTAAATTACAGCTAAGTTTCTCATTGGAAGGGCCCAAACTTTAAGGTGTGATAAGCAAGGCTGATTGCCCATTACTTAGAATTTACTGAACATCTATTATTCTTTACAGATACTGTTTATGATCTTTTAATTAACTTTCAAAGTAAGTATTATCTTCATATCCAGAGAAAAGGCACAGAGAGATTATGTGTCTTGTCCAATTACATGTAGCAAAACTTTCCCATTCGCTTTTGGAAGTTGACATAGCTATAAAATTGGACCCCAATAAGGATAGTTAAAAAAATTATAGCTCTTTGAGTCCGAGTTCAGATACAGTATTATCAAATTGAATTCAGCAGTATATCAAATGAATAATACACTCTGACCAAATGGAGCGTGTTCTAGGAATGCAAGAATGGTTCAATAATAAGAAATATTAGGAAACCAGCCTAATTCACCATATCCATAAGCTTAAGAAAAACCACATATGAGCAAATGCTTAAAAGGCAGTTGATAAAACTTTCCTATAATAAGACTCTAAAACAGGAACGACAGGAACTGCTTAAATTTAAGAAAGGCTTAAAATTAGCTACAGAGTCATTCCAAGCAGTGAAATCCTAGGTCCAGCTTCATAAAACTCGGAGACATCTAATTCTGCCATTTGAAGCGATTAGCCTGGCTATTACTCAAAATGAAGTATGCTAATTAGAAATAGTTTACTTAAGCAAGGGAGGGAGGAGATGGCGCTACCTATCCAACGGGGAGAACCTGATAGGAAAAGGCTAGCTGTGAGAAGTCCTTATGGTAGAGCCTAACGGCTCTTCTCCACATAGTGATAGTCATGGCCACTGAATTTGGACAGCCAGAACTGGGATTTGAGCCTAGGTCTGTTGCTAAAGTCCTGCTTTACTCCTTATGAAGCATGTGTGCTCTCTGGGACTAGGGCTCTGGGAAAAGGGAGAGTTGCTCAGAGCCAGCCCACCCCCCCAAAGCGTGAGGTCTGGGATGAGTGTGTGGGAGACATGGTTGGTGGTCTGCCCCCGCCCCAGGTCACTTTGCCTGCCTTTTGCTCTCTAGGTCCTGAGGAGCCAGTGTTCTGAACGACCCCCGTTCTTCTTGCTTCTAAGATGCCATTTTAGCATTACCAGCTGCCTTTTGTCTCAAGGGTGCCAGGGGCTAATTGGAGCTTTGAGGTCACGAGCTCTTGGCTTCTCCAGCCACCAGGATGCCTCAGTCTCATTGTATTCCTGGTGAGGGCAGAGCACATTTTCCTGGCATAAACCACAGGATAACACGTGGAGAATGTTACCCAGTGGAAACTTGCCTGCCTCATACAGAATCAAGCACAGGGTGGTGAGCGGGTCACTGGAGAGGGACTCAGGAGACCTGGGTTCTGGTGGCTTTTCCAATGATGCGTTCTGTGCATGTCACTCATTCGTGACCTGAAATGTTGGACTAGGCAGGCTTCCGGTGACAGTTGAATCCAAGGTTACGATGCTAATCCCCTCTTTCTGTGTGCTCAGCACCTTTTGAAGTGCCCTGTGTAGGGCTGGGAGAATGGCTCAGTGACAGAGCACTTGCCTAGCATACCTAGCTCCGTAACACACACACACACAGTCAGGCTGTGCTTGCCCAAGAACACAGCACTTGCCTGTGTTGTGTGTGGTCAACGAGGTAAGTCCATTTCTGTCTCTAAAGCAATGGAGGCCCAGAGCAGCTCACTGACTTGCCCAGGGTCCCGCAGGCAGAATGGTGGCCCTTACACAGCTGTCAGCCTCTGTGCTCTCGTAACTCTTTTGCGTACACGAGGTGCGTGTGGTTGCGGTGGTGCGGATCTGAGGGTGGGAAGTTCCTTTAAGGGGGAGGCCTAGCTCTGGTGTGGACAGCTGGGGACTGTTGCGCCGGAGTGTGAGAGAGTGACCGCAGAAGTTGCTGACATCGTCCTCCCATGGCATCTTCTCTTTTCTTCTCTAGTCTGTGGCAAGCGCTACAAGAACCGGCCGGGACTCAGCTACCACTACGCGCACACTCACCTGGCCAGCGAGGAGGGAGATGAAGCCCAAGACCAGGAGACCCGGTCCCCACCCAACCACAGAAATGAGAACCACAGACGTGAGTCCCAGCTTGTGAGGTTGGGGAGCGAGGGACGGGACGGGTAGTGCGGGGAACCATCTTTCTCTGTCCGCTCTGGCATCTGGCAGTAACCACGGATGGGTCTCTGCAGGAAGTTGACTCCAAAGCACAGCCAGCCACCACACCAATGGCTGAGCTAAGCCACCAGCTATGAGCAAGCAGGTCAGAATGTGTGTGGTCAGCCTTGTCTCCAGACAGAGGTGGGGTGCTTCATGAGTGTCCAGCGGAAGGGGAGTGTCCTCACCTGGCCGATGTCAAAGGCCAGACTTGCCCATCTCCATCTTTTTCCTTAGCTTCACAGATGTTGGGAATGACTGATGTTTGCTGGCTGATTGCTATGGTTTTGCTGTATGGGTTCACTAGTTTAGGTACAGGACTCGCCTGCCACCTGGATGAATACATCCCTTGGGATGACAGTTGGACCTCTAGACTCAAAGCGATCCTGAAGATGTGTTTCTAGTCTTTCTCTTCTTCCTCAACTTCTTCATGAATGAGAAGTCAAAGAGGGGGTTAGCATTTACCACTCTCTACCCTCCGTTACGGTTTCTGGGCTGACAAAAACCTCAACACAGGATGTGGTCACAGAATCTGTTGAGCTTGGGTCATACTGAGATCACTGAGGGAGGGCTATTTTTTTTTTTTTTTTTGGATATATGATGCGGGCTTTGCTTTCTTTATACATTTTATTGGTACCTATTTTTTTTTTTTTTTGAAAATGCTTTCCTTTGAGGTTTAGTTTGCTATTTCACGAATGTGAACATTTTGCTCGCAGGGATGTGTACGCACCACATGCGTTTTTAGCTAGCGCTGAGGTCAGAAGAGTGTGTTGGATTCCCTAGGACTGACGTGACAGATGATGGGAGTAAGCCACCACGTGGGTGCTAGGGGTTGGACCTGGGTTCAATGGAAGGACACAGCAAATGCTCTCAGCCACTGAGTCGTCTCTCCAGCCCTGACAGATATTCTTAAAGTGAACCAAGAGCCTGACGTTTTAAAAGGGCCCAGTCTCTAAGTTTAAAGATGGCGTCTGTGTAGTTGCGTCTGTCAGCTTAACTGACTGGTGCCAGAGGGGCACTTTCGCCAAGAATTTGAAATCATGAACACACCCCTAGCCAGACCTTTGTTTGGATTTGTGTGTGGTTCTCCCTGACCTACACCCCAATGTTCACTGCTCATGCTGCCTTCCTTCTTAGTGTGCTGTGGCTGATACAACAAATATGTGTCCACGTGACCTCTTTTTATAAGGTCACCAGGCAGACTGAATCAGGACCCACCTGCACTGTGTGTGTGTGTGTGTGTGTGTGTGTGTGTGTCTCACACTTAGCATGTACTCTCGGCTGGTCTTCATCTTACTTTTTGAGACTGAATCTCTCACTGAATATGAAGTTCACTGAATTGGTAAGCCTGGCTGTGGGGAGCTCCAGAGGTCACCTGTCTCTGCCTCCCCAGTTCTGGGGTATAATGTAGATATGTACCGTTATTCCCATCCTTTTGCATGGGTGCTGGGGGGGGGTGTCTAAACTCAGGTCCTCACGTCTTCATAACAAGCACTTTACCACTGAGCTTCTCCCCAGCTCCAGTGGCCTCATTTTACATTTGCCTCTTCATTTACTTTTTTAAAAAAAGATTTATTTTCACTTGAAAGTGTGTGTGTGTGTGTGTGTGTGTGTGTGTGTGTGTGTGTGTGTGTGCGCATATGAGTGCAGTTCTGGTGGAGGCCAGAGAGGGCATCAGATCACTGAATCTGGAGTTACAGGTGGTTGCGATCCACCCTGTGTAAACTCTGGAAGCAGAATAAAAACAGTGCACTCCTCCCCTAACCACTGAGCCATCTCTCCAGCACTTTAATCACTTCTTTATCGCTCTCTATCTCCAGTCAGACCAAATGCCAAAGTACTAGAGGTTAAGCTTCAATTACAGGAATTTGGAGTTGGGGAAAACACATCCTGTGACATTAATTTGTTTCCAGTTTTGGGGGGTTCAAGATTTTAATGTGACAGACCCTTGCTTTCTCACGTCCTTTTGCCATCTGGGTCGAATGTGGGAAGCAGGGCTGAAGGAGGGTGGCTTCGCTCTTTCTGCACCAGATCCTGAGTCTCTCTGACACCCAGCTCTCCGTCTGCCCTTTGGGAGCTCTCCTCTCCTCTGTCATAGAAGAAAAACTATCTGTACTGAAGCAGCTGGGAACAGCATTCCCCTCTTTCTTCTTCTGTTCTCTGGTCTAAGTGTTTGGGAAGTCACAGAAATTATTGCTTCCTCCCGGGAAGAGGCTGGAAATGATCTTTGATTTTGGGTGTTATCGTGAAAGCACGGATTAGTGACTTGTTCTCTCTGCAAAGTGTCTGTCAGCTTTCTTTCTCACTCCTCTGGTGCTAGCCTATCTTTGCGTTTCCTCAGCGCCTGGCCGCTTGTTCCTGTGTACGGGCATCCTGTTCTATAGCGTTCGGGTGGCTTTTCCTTTGTGTTGTGTTTGCCCTACTTCTCCCGTAAGTGTTCCATAGCAAGCAGTGTTTGTGCCCACACAGGCATATACGTATATCCATGTTCAAAGTGCTGACAGTAAGTGGAAGGAGGCAGTCTCCTCACCAACTGTTCCAGGGGTCCCCTCTAAGTAGACATCTGTGATCAGCACTGACAGTCTTTGCTCTTTCTACCAGGATCTCAAATGTGAAATTATCAGTAGGCGTCTTTGCCCTCCTTCATTGTTGTCCCCGGGAAATCACATCGGCCTGCCTAGTAAAGAAACTGTGTTTTTCCTTTTCCAGTATGGAGACACGCCCCATGCTTGTCTCCATCCATGTGTGTGGGCTTGTGGGTGAGCAACACAGTCCAGCTCATCCTTGTCTTCTTTCCTTTCTCATTCTGCTGATGAGACACCAGCTTCTCACATAGCATCATTTGACCAGAAAGGAGTAGCTGAATCTGAGCTAATCTAGATGCTCCTCATACAAAGACAGTTCTAAAGTCCTCAGAAATACCCTTTATTATTATTATTTTGTGGTGCCTTCTCACAACTTCACCTCGGAGAACTCCGTGACCAGCCCCGATTTCACTCGTAGGGTAGTGGGCAAGCTCTCGGCGTCTGGAGACGCCATCTTTTCCCTAGTCGCTGTTTCTCGGGACAAACACCATGGCAGCTAGCTGCTCACCCTGGCTTGTGTGGGCCACACACACCACCGGTTTGCTTGCTGCTCCGAATGTGTGCTCTGTTTCCTCCCACATGCCCCTGGTGAGCGAGGCCTCGGCCATTTTCCTGTGAGCACTAATTGCTGGCATCATTAACACCCCGTCATTAGCCGCTCTTGCTGTTTGGGGCTTGGAGTGGGCGCCCATCCATACTGCCCCTTAATGCCACCGGGGCTGCTGCGTGGTGAACCGACCGTGACGGCTCAGCAGAATTCCGAGGGTTCGGCTCCGTGGCCCTCCCCGAGCCAGGCTTCCAGACCCAGGGAGGGAAGCGCTGGAGAACTTAATCCAGGAGGCTAATCTGCGGCTTCCCCAGGAGAAGGTCTGCATGTGGGCAAGTGGAAATGCTGACCTCCCCTCTAGTAGAGCTGCTGGGTGACTCAAGCTGCTGTCACAGAAAAGGATCCCCATAGATACAGTGTGCAGGGCCACAGGCGACTCCTCACACACCCACAGCCGTGGCAGCCTTTTGACTTTGGTACTCCTGCTCTCCCTTGCTCCATCCTCTTCCGCTGTGTCCCCAGCGGAGCCCGTGGCTCCTTCCCATACCTGCCACTCCCTAACTGAAAGGGCGGAGGTGGTCAGCTAGACTCAGCACTGACCTTCCCTTCCCCCAACCCTTGCTGCTCTGAGCTGCCAGCTCAGCAGATAACCACCATCTCTGCTGTCCTGCCCCTCTCAGAGGATGCATTCTTACCTTTGTTCCTCCTCCACTCTCAGTTTTTCCTCCCGAGTGTCTGTTTCTGTGTGTGTATGTGTTTTCCTATAGGTTTGCATCCTTTGCTCAGTGCCTGAGGTGCTCTGCCTGCATGATAGATGAGTAGCTGGGCATGCTTGGAGCGACCTTCTCCCTGGGGAGAGATGACATTTCTGATGGGGGTCTTCCTCCCTTAGGCAGCTACACCTCTCTCTCCAGATGAGGCTGGTGTTTTCTGTTTCCCTTGGTTTCTCTTATCATCTTCATCTCTGCATAGTTACGTCTACCTATAGCTATGGTATCCATGGATAAAAGGGAGGGGTCAGGACTGGGAATGTACCATTTAGAAGTTCTATTGTGACTCTTTCAGAGTAATTTTAGTTAGCAGGATTTGAAGTCTCAATGACCCAGGCCCACAATCTCAAAAGTCTTTTTAAATCCCTTTGCTTTCTCTGCACAATTAGAAATCTAGTACAGAAACTGTTTTTAGAATACTTTTTGGGGGTAAGAGTGAGATCAAAGTCTTGAATTTAAGCATAAAAACAGCATAAATAAATTTGTGGTGTTCATTCATTCATTTATTGACTCTGTTCGTCAGAGCATCTATCCATCCATCCATCCATCCATCCACCCACCAATCCACACATTCACCCAGCCATGCATCTACCCATCCATCATGCATCTATTCATCCCAAGTTTGCTACCTGTGTACTACTGAATGTTGACTAAGTACTGAGACAGAGAAGCACAGGTATGAATCAGGTTTGGCCTCATCTTTGACATGCCCACAGTCTCGGGTAGGAGCGTATAATGGGTCACATATAAAGGATGAACTTGCCCAAGGCTCAGAGTCACTGTATGTGCTTCCATGTTGTGAGGCAGGGGGTGCTCTTGGTGGGGGCACTAGCCTTACTTGTTGATGTGAAAATTGTCAGGCTCCACCAGCAGAGAGTCCAAGGGTGGGAACCAGCATGAAGGGTGTTCTGGCATATGCTTAAGGTTTTGAAAGAGTTCACTAAGGAGATGGTGTTCAGGTTGGCTCTTGAAAAGCAAGGAAGACTATTCAGGAGGGAGCGGATCTCCCAGGTTTCAGTTG